GAATACTACCAGCAGAGTAGAACACTTAGAAGATAGAACATCAGACAATGAAGATAAAGTATTTCAACTGGAAAAGAACATAGACAGCTCAGCAAGACTGTTAAGAAACCATGAGCAGAACATCCAAGAAATATGGGATAACATCAAGAGACCAAATTTAAGAGTCATTGGGATACAGGAAGGGACAGAGTTTCAAACCAAAGGAATGAGCAATCTATTCAATGAAATAATACAAGAAAACTTCCCAGACTTGAAGAATGAGACAGAATCCCAAATCCTAGAAGCCTACAGGACGCCGAATGTGCAAAATCATAAGAGACCCACACCTAGACACATTATAATGAAGATGCCCAACATACAGAATAAGGAGAGAATTTTAAAAGCTACAAGAGAAAGGAAGCAGATCACATTTAGGGGTAAGCCAATCAGGATAACAGCTGATCTTTCAACACAGACACTGAAAGCTAGAAGATCCTGGAATAACATATTTCAAACACTGAAAGAAAATGGGTTCCAACCAAGAATTGTGTTTCCAGCGAAATTAAGCTTCAGGATGGAAGATGAAATTAAAACCTTCCACAATAAACAAAAGTTAAAAGAATTTGCAGCTAGAAAACCATCTCTTCAAAATATCCTTGGCAAAACATTACAGGAAGAGGAAATAGAAAATAACAATGAAAACCAACAGTGGGAGGTAGGACAGTAAAGGGGGGAAAAATAATCAAAGAGGAAAACAAACCATGTTTAGTAACATAAATAAACAAATATGGCTGGAAGAACAACCCATATCTCAATAATAACCCTAAATGTTAATGGCTTAAACTCACCAATCAAGAGACACAGGCTAGTAGAATGGATCACAAAACAAGACCCAACAATATGCTGCCTACAGGAGATGCATTTGATAGGAAAAGACATACATAGGCTGAAGGTGAAAGGTTGGGAAAAATCATATCACTCATATGGACTTCGGAAACAAGCAGGAGTGTCCATACTCATATCAAATAAAATAGATTTCAAGCCAAAGTTAATCAAAAGGGATAAAGAGGGACACTACATACTGCTTAAGGGAACCATACACCAACAAGACATAACAATCATAAATATATATGCCCAAACAATGGTGCAGCTATGTTCATCAAACAAACTCTTCTCAAGTTCAAGAGTCTAATAGACCACCATACCATAATCATGGGAGACTTCAACACACCTCTCTCGCCACTGGACAGATCTTCCAAACAAAAGTTGAATAAGGAAACTATAGAACTCAATAACACAATTAATAACCTAGACTTAATTGACATATATAGAATATACCACCCAACATCAAGCAGTTACACTTTTTTCTCAGCAGCACATGGATCCTTCTCAAAAATAGATCATATATTATGTCACAGGGAAACTCTTAGACAATACAAAGGAGTAGAGATAATACCATGCATCCTATCTGATCATAATGGAATGGAACTGAAAATCAACGATAAAAGAAGGAAGGAAAAAGAATACATCACTTGGAGAATGAACAATAGGTTACTGAATGATCAATGGGTTATAGAAGACATCAAGGAGGAAATTAAAAAATTCTTAAAGATTAATGAAAACACTGACACAACATATCGGAATCTATGGGACACATTGAAAGCAGTTCTAAGAGGAAAATTCATTGCTTGGAGTTCATTCCTTAAAAAAAGAAAAAACCAACAAATAAATGATCTCATACTTCATCTCAAAATCCTAGAAAAAGAAGAGCAAAACAACAGCAAAAGAAGTAGAAGGCAAGAAATAATTAAAATCAGAGCTGAAATTAATGAAATCGAAACAAAAGAAACAATTGAAAAAATTGACAAAACTAAAAGTTGGTTCTTTGAAAAAATAAACAAAATCGACAGACCCTTAGCCATGCTATCGAAGAGAAGAAGAGAGAGAACTCAAATTACTAGCATACGGGATGAAAAAGGCAATATCACAACAGACACTTCAGATATACAGAAGATAATCAAAAATTATTTTGAATCCTTATACTCCAATAAATTAGAAGATAGTGAAGGCATCGATAAATTTCTTAAGTCATATGATCTGCCCAGATTGAGTCAGGAGGATATAGACAACCTAAACAGACCAATATCAATTGAGGAAATAGAAGAAACCATAAAAAGACTACCAACTAAGAAAAGCCCAGGACCGGATGGGTATACAGCAGAGTTTTACAAAACCTTTAAAGAGGAACTAATACCAATACTTTTCAAGCTACTTCGGGAAATAGAAAAAGAGGGAGAACTTCCAAATTCATTCTACGAGGCCAACATCACCCTGATACCTAAACCAGACAAAGACACTTCAAAGAAAGAAAACTACAGACCAATATCTCTAATGAACCTAGATGCAAAAATCCTCAATAAAATTCTGGCGAATCGGATACAAAAACATATCAAAAAAATTGTGCACCATGATCAAGTAGGATTCATCCCTGGGATGCAAGGCTGGTTCAATATACGGAAATCAATAAATGTTATTCACCACATCAATAGACTTAAAAATAAGAACCATATGATCATCTCGATAGATGCGGAAAAAGCATTCGACAAAGTACAGCATCCCTTTATGTTCAAAACTCTAGAAAAACTAGGGATAACAGGAACATACCTCAATATTGTAAAAGCAATCTATGCTAAGCCTCAGGCTAGCATCATTCTGAATGGAGAAAAACTGAAGGCATTCCCTCTAAAATCTGGAACAAGACAGGGATGCCCTCTCTCACCACTTCTGTTCAACATAGTTCTCGAAACACTGGCCAGAGCAATTAGACAGATGAAAGAAATTAAAGGCATAAAAATAGGAAAAGAAGAACTTAAATTATCACTATTTGCAGATGATATGATTCTATACCTAGCAGACCCAAAAGGCTCTACAAAGAAACTATTAGAGCTAATAAATGAATTCAGCAAAGTGGCAGGATATTAAATCAACACGCATAAATCAAAGGCATTCCTGTATATCAGCGACAAATCCTCTGAAATGGAAATGAGGACAACCACTCCATTCACAATATCTTCAAAACAAATAAAATACTTGGGACTCAACCTAACAAAAGAGGTGAAAGACTTATACAATGAAAACTGCAGAACCCTAAAGAGAGAAATAGAAGATCTTAGAAGATGGAAAAATATACCCTGTTCATGGATAGGCAGAACTAACATCATCAAAATGGCGATATTACCAAAAGTTCTCTATAGGTTTAATGCAATGCAAATCAAAATCCCAATGGCATTTCTTGTAGAAATAGAGAAAGCAATCATGAAATTCATATGGAAAAATAAAAGACCCAGAATAGCAAAAACAATGCTAAGCAGGAAGTGTGAATCAGGGGGTATAGCGATACCAGACTTCAAACTATACTACAGAGCAATAGTAACAAAAACAGCATGGTACTGGTATCAAAACAGGCAGGTGGACCAATGGTACAGAATAGAGGACACAGAAACCAATCCACAAAACTACAACTACCTTATATTTGATAAAGGGGCTAAAAGCATGCAATGGAGGAAGGATAGCATCTTCAACAAATGGTGCTGGGAAAACTGGAAATCCATATGCAACAAAATGAAACTGAATCCCTTTCTCTCGCCATGCACAAAAGTTAATTCAAAATGGATCAAGGAGCTTGATATCAAATCAGAGACACGCCGTCTGATAGAAGAAAAAGTTGGCTACCATCTACATACTGTGGGGTCGGGCTCCATAGGACACCCATAGCACAAAAGTTAATAACTAGAATCAACAAATGGGACTTACTCAAACTAAAAAGTTTTTTCTCAGCAAAAGAAACAATAAGAGAGGTAAATAGAGAGCCTACATCCTGGGAACAAATCTTTACTCCTCACACTTCAGATAGAGCCCTAATATCCAGAGTATACAAAGAACTCCAAAAATTAGACAATAAGAGAACAAACAACCCAATCAACAAATGGGCCAAGGACCTGAACAGACACTTCTCAGAGGAGGACATACAATCAATCAACAAGTACATGAAAAAATGCTCACCATCTCTAGCAGTCAGAGAAATGCAAATCAAAACCACCCTAAGATACCATCTCACTCCAGTTAGATTGGCAGCCATTAAGAAGTCAAACAACAACAAGTGCTGGCGAGGATGTGGGGAAAAGGGTACACTTGTACATTGCTGGTGGGACTGCAAATTGTTGCAGCCAATTTGGAAAGCAGTATGGAGATTTCTTGGAAAGCTGGGAATGGAGCCACCATTTGACCCAGCTATTCCCCTTCTCGGTCTATTCCCTAAAGACCTAAAAAGAGCATGCTACAGGGACACTGCTACATCGATGTTCATAGCAGCACAATTCACAATAGCAATACTGTGGAACCAACCTAGATGCCCTTCAATAGATGAATGGATAAAAAAAAAATGTGGCATTTATACACAATGGAGTATTACTCTGCATTAAAAAATGACAAAATCATAGAATTTACAGGGAAATGGATGGCATTAGAGCAGATTATGCTAAGTGAAGCTAGCCAATCCCTAAAAAACAAATGCCAAATGTCTTCTTTGATATAAGGAGAGTAACTAAGAACAGAGTAGGGTCGAAGAACATGAGAAGAAGATTAACATTAAACAGGGATGAGAGGTGGGAGGGAAAGGGAAAGAGAAGGGAAATTGCATGGAAATGGAAGGAGACCCTCAGAGTTATACAAAAGTACACACAAGAGGAAGTGAGGAGAAAGGGAAAAATAATACAAGGGGGACAAATTAATGTCAGTAGAGGGGGCAGAGAGAGAAGAGGGGAGGGGAGGGGAGGGGAGGGGGGATAGTAGAGGATAGGAAAGGCAGCAGAACACAACAGACACTAGTATGGCAATATGTAAATCAATGGATGTGTAACTGATGTAATTCTGCAATCTGTATATGGGGTAAAAATGGGAGCTCATAACCCACTTGAATCAAAGTGTGAAATATGATATATCAAGAACTATGTAGCCCTTTCCCTGCCCTGTTGCTGTTGCGCGGCTGCTGGCTGCTGCCCTGGTGAGTCCCTGAAGTGAAAGGGGGCCGCTGGGCCCTCGGGTTCCCCAGACTCAGACTTCCAGCGCCGAGAAAGGACTTGGACGGTAGAGGTGCGGCCTATTTCAGCTTTCACCTCACGCCACCTCCTAAGGACACCCATCATGGAAAAAACAATAGAAGATCCCCCCACATCAGCTGTCTTGCTCGATCGTTGTCATTTCTCTCAGGTCATCTTTAATAGTGTGGAGAAGTTCTATGTCCCTGGAGGGGACATCACATGCTATTATACCTTCGCCGAGCATTTCATCCCCCGTCGAAAGGACTGGATTGGCATCTTTAGAGTGGGATGGAAGACAACCCGTGAATATTATACCTTCATGTGGGTTGCTTTGCCTAGTGACATAAACAACAAATCAGCCAAACAGCAGGAAGTCCAATTTAAAGCTTATTACCTGCCTAAGGATGATGAGTATTACCAGTTCTGTTATGTGGATCAGGATGGTGTGGTCCGGGGAGCAAGTATCCCTTTCCAGTTCCGTCCAGAAAGTGAGGAGGACATCCTGGTTGTTACTACTAAGGGAAAGGTAGAAGAGATTGAACAGCACAACGAGGAGCTTTGCAAAGAAAACCAGGAACTGAAGGACAGCTGTGCCAGCCTCCAGAAGCAGAACTCAAGCATGCAGGCTGAGCTCCAAAGGAAGCAGGAGGAGCTGGAGACTCTACAGAGTATCAATAAGAAATTGGAACAGAAAGTGAAAGAGCAGAAAACCTGTTGGGAAACTGAGCTGCTTCAACTGAAAGAACATAACCAGAAAGTGTCCTCAGAAAATGAGAAGATGGGAATCAGAGTGGATCAGCTTCAGGCCCAGCTGTCAACTCAAGAGAAGGAAATGGAAAAGCTTGTTCAGGGAGATCAAGATAAAGCAGAACAGTTGGAACATCTGAAAAAGGAAAATGACCAACTCTTTTTCAGTTTGACTGAACAGAGGGAGCAACAGAAGAAGCTCCAGCAGATAGTGGAGGATATGAAGCAGAAAGAAACTACTGCAGCGAAGAAACAACAGGAGTTAATGGATGAGAATTTTGACCTGTCAAGAAGACTGAGTGAGAACAAGATTATATGTGATGTTCTGCTGAGAGAGAAAGAGAGAATGGAAAGAGAAAATGATCTCTTAAAGAAAGAGAACAGCAGATTGCTGAGTTACATGGGTCTGGATTTTGACTCTTTGCCATGTCAAGTGCCTACTTCAGATCAAGGAGGTGCTGGACAAAATCCAGGTCTTGTCTATGGAAACCCATATTCTGGTATTCAAGAAAGTTCTGCCCCTAGCCTGCTCTCCATCAAGAAATGCTTCACCTGCAAATCAGACTTTGCTGATGAAATCTGTGATCACACCTTGGAGCAGCAGCAAATGCAGACCCTTTGTTTGAATTGTCCAATTTGTGACAAGACCTTCCCAGCAAGAGAGAAGCAGATCTTTGAAGACCATGTGTTCTGCCACTCTCTTTAAGCATCCAAGCCTTTTGGATCTATGCTGTACATAGTTTAGTAGAACATACAGCTTCTACTATGAGTTAAATGAGTCAAGATCCTTCCTAACCTGAAATCATTAGGGATTTACTTAGCTCTGCTGCCTGTAAAGGTGGAGCCATGTCCATTATCTACAAGATGATGTTAAGAGCTTCTGCCTCCATTCTTGTGAGTGACTACCTAAGTCACATAGCTCTAGCTGTATCAGCCTCTCACTTATGTGCCCATTCTTCCTTGGGACCTCAGTACAAGGGCGCCAGGATAGAGTTGACCTGCCTGAGTTGATCTGCCAGAGTTGTTACTAAGTGATTGTCTTCCAAGTTTTCCCATTGCTATTCAAGTTTAGGCCTCAAGTATATTTGTACTCAGTCTTTAGTTCTAACTCTGAGGGCCTCCTCCTCAGGCCTCTTTCTCCAACTGATTGCATTAAACTAACCCAAAATTCAGATGTCCAATTGAATGCTAGAGATTTTTTTAACTCCCAAAAGAAACATTTTGTTCCTGAAACATGGACAGGAAATACTACTTCAGTCTCAGAAAGACTTCTATCTATATAACTGATTGACATTCCTGCTCTTTAATCTTCCTGTGCACATAACTTTTATTGTTGCCCTTTTTTCTCTTTCTTTTAGGTACTGGAATTGAATGCAGGGGTGCTCTACCACTGAGCTAAGCCCCCAGCCCTTTTTATTTTGAAACAGTTTCTTGCTGAGTTGCCCAGGCTGGCCTTGAACTTGAATTCTTCTGCCTCGTTCTCCTGAGTCACTGGGATTACAGGCATGCGCCACCATACCTGCTTTATTATTGTCTTTCTTTAGTTAGGAGTTGTTGGAAACTGTAGGTTTACATCTTTCTGAACAGTTGAGTTTGGAATATGAATGTCAAAATAATGAGGCTACTATTGTTAATCCCCTCAATACTAAGGGATTTAGGTAATTTAAAATAAACCTTTAGTTTACAGTCTTATTTTTAAGTTTTTGAGTTAAACAAAAGGATAATGGAAAACCCCACAAATGATTTCTCTTCACCTGTTTTAACTGTTCAGTGAGTGTGTCCTGGCAGCTATGTTGCCGTGGGGAGGGATGTGATAAGCATCAGTTTGAGAAATCCGGGGCTCTGCCTTTTTGCTGTAACTTTCCATGTGTTTTTTGAAAAGCATTGTGGATTTTGGCACCCTTTGTGGACTAAGCTCAATGCCCTCCATCCAGATTTGCCTAATTGAACTATAAGAAAGCAATTCCATTTTCTCTCCCCTCGGGAACTGAACAAATGGAAATGACTCCCAGGCAGTCAACCAGCTGGTCACCATAGAGACTTTTACAAAAACTTTTGAATGATGTGAAACATGATGTAATGCATAAGGTTGAGCCAACTCTACCTCTGCATTCCTACTGGGGTTTTCCTGATATGATTGGAGTTGTGCCCTAGACAAACTATTGTCCTAATCACAGCTACTTGCTTTTATTTCTCCTTGATAAAATGAAAGTGAAGCTATGCCACTTCCCTTGTATCATCATTTCAGCAAGAAGTCTATTGCACTCATAAGCCTTTTGTCTCCTTAAGAATCAGATGTGATGTGAACCCAGCCCCAGCTCCACAATAAAAATATAATGGGGAGATGGAAATTAAGGAGTTTTACTGGAGCATACCCTTCCTCCCTGCAAAATTTCTGATGCTCCCCAGATAGTTCCTGTGAAGAATTGCAGTTTCATTTATTTTGTACTAGTCAGCTCTTAATTAAGCACATGAATGGAGAGGAGCAGTGGTGCACATAATCCAAATCAGTGAATTATCATTTTCTGGTGAATTACCCACCCTTTGCCCCTGCTACCCTGAGGGTTACCATGATTATCAATAGCAGCAGGAGCCCTTCCACAGGCTTGGTGAAAAAAAAAAATGGTTGAGGTGATAATGATCCTTTTTGCTGGGTGTAAAACAAAGCATCTTTAACCACTGTTCATTATCCCCAGCTGCTCTTACCAAGGCTGTGAAGGGAAATTATGCTTCAGGCAGCTAGTAGTGGTAAAGGAAACAATCATTCTTACATAATCCACTGCCCATCCCAGCCTTCCCGCTTTCCTCTGCTGTCCTCCCTCCCCCCCACATTTTATAGTTGTGGAATACCTGTAAAAACAGCAAGAGGGTATGAGAGCAAATAGTATTTATACCTAAACTTAATTTTTTAAAAAAAATCTTTCTAGTTATTATGGCAACAGGTTTTCCTTCCAAATTCATTGTTCCCCAGTCTATTATAATATTTTTGCATTCCCTCATCATACTTACTTGATGAACAGTGGAAAGTCACCTTGACACATGTGAGTGTGAAAGAGTGGTAAAAGAAAGCTAGCCTAGAACAGAAAGAGTTGGCAACATATTTAGTAAACCTAGGCCTAAAGAACACCTACAGCTTTTAACCCCTTTTCTCTGGTCTTGCTAAAAACTGGGATGAAATGTGACTGCCACAATGTCACATTTCAAATATGATTTGATTTTCTGCCATGGCAGTGAGTTACACTAAGCTAAGCATTATCTAACCTGGTCTCCTAGCAACAAGTATAGATGAAATAGGTTAGGGTAAAGAGGTGCAGCTCATTTCCTAGGAAAGTAGCAAAGTGGACCCTATTGGAGATGAAACCCAAAGAGATACTCACCTAGTTGCCCTAAGTAAACCAATAATATCCCATAAACTCAGGAAAGTTATACTGACCCCCATGCCCTCCTCAGCTGATTTTATAACTATTCATGTCTTTACATTCATATAATTTATAGTTGACAATGTATTTCATATATTCCCTGTGTACCTCTCATAATCTTCCTAGCCGTGCAGCTATTAATTTTCATTTTTATTGATTAATAAATTGAAATATGGAGAAATAAATTGCCAAAATTGGAAAAAAAAAAAAAAAAAAAAAAAAAAAAAAAAAAAAAGAACTATGTAATGTTTTGAACAGCCAACAATAAAAAATTTAAAAAAAAACATTAAAGAAAAGGAAATAAATAATTATAATTAGAATATATGAGAACTCTGAGACAAAATTAAGAGACAAAGTTCAAGAATTATTGGAATTGAGGCAGGTTGTAAGATATAGACTACAAGAATTGATGACTTTAGGGGAATAATAACAAAAATTTTTCCCAATACTTGAGAATGAAATGAACATTTAGATACAGGAGGTATTCAGAACTCCTAAAATACAAGATCAAAAAAACCTTTCCGTGACACATTATAATTAAAATGCGTAACACACTGAAAAAGTATACAATTTCAAAAGCGTCAAGACAAAAATATCAGGTCACATTTAGAGGCAAGCCTATAAGAATCATTTACAACTTCTTAGCACAAACTCTAAAAGCTAATAAGGCTTGTGATGATGTGTTCCAATTCCTGAAAGAAAATAACAGTCAACCAAGACATAAGCCAGCAGAATGGGCTAAAAAACAAGACCCAAATATATGTTGTTTGCAAGACATGCATTTAACAGGCAAAGATAGTCACAGGCTGAAACAGAAAGTATAGAAATTGTTACACAATGTGATTGGAACCCCCAAACAAGCAGGAGAACCCACTCTCATCTCAGACTTAAAACCAAAATCAATCAGATAAGACAAAGGAAGTCACTTCATACTGCTAAGGAAATAATCAAAAAGATATAACAATAAATATTTATGCCTCAAACGTGGGTGAAATTAATTACAAAAAAAGAGACACTATCCAAATGGAGGTCTCAGATAGAACCCACTACAATAATATTGAATGATTTTAATATAACTCTTACCATTAAATAGGTCAAAACAGTAAAGACTCTTTAGATATGAAAAATTATACAAGTCAAATCGACTTAATAGATATCTATAGAATATTTCATTCAATCACAGATGAATACACTTCTTTTGTCAGTTGTTCACGAAACCTTCTTCAAAAGAGACCTTATTTTATGTCACAAAACAACTCTAAGAAAATACAAATTCCTTGCATTTTATAAGTTCATAATAGAATGAAATTAAAAATCAACATGACAAAATGCTCCAGAAACTATATAAACATATGGAGATTGAACAATAGATTTTGAATGATGAATGGATAATAAAACAAATCAAGGGGGAAATTAAAAAAAAATAGACTCAAATGAGAATAGTGATACAACGTATCAGAACTTCCAGGACACTTTGAAGGCAGTTCTGAAAGGAAAGTTCATATCTATGAGTGCCTACATAAGAAAATCAGAAATATCCCCAATAAATAACCCAATGATGCATTTCAAGGCCATTGAAAACGAAGAAAAAAATACAAAATCCAGTAGAAGAAAGAAATAATTAAGATCAGAGTTGAAATCAATGATATCATGGAAAAAAATACAGAGTTGGTTATTTGAAAAGATAAACAAAATTTAATTGGTAAGCCTTTAGTCAAACTAACTAAAAGAAAAATAGAGAAAACCAAAATTAATTAAATTAGAGATGAAAAAGGAGTAATCCCCACAGACATCACAGAAATACAGTGGATAGTTTGGGATTATTTTGAACATTTATACTCCAATAAATTTGAAAACCTAGAAGAAACGAATGCATTACTAGACAAACCTGATCTATCAAAACTGAATCAAAACGAAGAAAATCTAAACAGACCAATAACTGGCAATGAGATAGAAGCATTAATAAAAAGCCTTCCAACAAAGAAAAACCAGGGACCAGATGGACTCTCAGCTGAATTCTACCAAATCTATAAAGAACTAATGCCAATAGTCCTCAAATTATTCCATGAAATAGAAAGGGATAGGACACTTCCAAATTTATTATATGAAGCCAATATCCCCAGTTCTTATCAAAATCAGATAAGAACACATCAAGGAAAGAAAACTATAGGCCAGTTTCCTTAATGAACATGTGCAAAAATACTTAGTAAACTATTAGCAAACTGAATTAAAATTTTATTAAATTATATTTCATGACTAAGTTGATTTCATTCCTGAAATGCAAGGATGCTTCATTATATCCAAATCAATAAATACAATTAACCATATAAAGGGAATTAAGAATAAAAATCACTTAGTCATCTCAATAGCTGCAGAGAAGTTGACAAAATTCATGGAAATTTTGATTTATGATTTATGATTAAAAATCACTGAAGAAAGTAGGGTAAAAGAAACCTACCTCAATATAATAAAGGCTATATATAAAAGCCCAAAGCCAACCTTATAGTAAATGGGGAAAAACTGAAAGCATTTCCTTTAGAATCTGGGGCACTCTAGGATGTCCATCTTCACCACTACTGTTTAATATAATGCTAGACATTTTAGCCAGAGCAATTAGGAAAGATAAGAAAAAAATAAATCAGATAAAAATAGAAAGGGAAGAAGTAAAATTTGTAGATGATGTGATCCTATACGTAGAAGATCCAAAGAATTTCACCCCAAAAGACTGTTAGAATAAACAAATTTAGTAAAGTAGCAGGTTATAAAATCAATATATATAAAAATAAATAGCTTTCATATATACCAACAATGGATCATCTGAGAATGAAATTAGGAAAACAATCCTATTTATAATAACCTTTAAAAAATAGAGATAAATCTAACCAATGAGGTGAAAAACCTCTACAAACTGTAGAACATTAAAGAAAGAAACTGAAGAAGACCTGAGGAGATGGAAAGACCTCCCATGTTCATAGATAGGCATAATTAATATTGTTAAAATGGCCATACTACCAAAAGCAATATACAGATTAAGTGCAATTCCCTTCAAAATACCAATGACATTCTTCACAGAAATAGAAAAGACAATCCTAAAAAATTCATTTGGAAGAATAAAAGACGCAGAATAATCAAAGCAATTCTAAGCCAAAAAAGAAATATTGGAGGCAACACAGTACCTGACTTCAAATTATATTACAGAGATAGAGAAACAAAAACTGCATGATTCTGGCATAAAAATAGACATCAAACCCATACAGATACAGTCATCTTATCCTTGACAAAGGTGCCAAAAATAAACACTGGAGAAAATACAAACTTTTAAACAAATGGTGTTGGGACAACTGGTTATCTGTATATAGATGAGATGAATGAAACTAGACCCTTATCCCTCACCCTGCACAAAAACCAACTCAAAAAGGATAAAAGACCTAAGAGTTAGATTAGCTTTGCAACTCTTTGAGGAAAATGTAAAGTCAACACTCCAGTATATAGGCACAGGCAATGAGTTTCTTAATAGAACCTGTATAGCTCAGGAAATAATACCAAGAGTTAATGAATGAATGGCATTTATTTAAAAATTTTTGCACAATTAGGAATGTGAAGAGAGAACGTACAGAATAGGATCTTTGCTAGCTACTATTCTGACAGAGGATTCATATCTAGAATTTATAAAGAATGCAAAAAATTTTAGACCAAAGAATTTCAAATAAGTCAATTAATAAATGGGCAAATGAATTAGACAGACACTTCTTAACAGAAGAAATACAAATAGCCAACAAATATATAAAATATATACAATAT